GGGATTCCAACGCCGCCCCAGGTCCACGGCCAACATCCCTCCATCAAGCGACCTCGACCCGATGACCTCGACCTGTCCGTGGCGCCAATCGGAGACCTGGACCACAGTGAACTGGACAGCATGCAAACACCTTTAGGCGCAACCTATGCCGAAGCTTCTGGTTCCATGCAGCCGCCGATGCATCATCATCACAGGATGCCAGACTCGGGCCCCCCTTCTAAGCTGATGAGGAGGGATGGAGAATCGCTGGGCGGCGGAGGGGCTCCCAGTGTAGTGGGACAGGCCGGGATGCCTGCGCCAGCGATGAGGCCGCGAGGGCCGAAGCTCAAATTTACCCCAGAAGACGATCAGCTTCTGATTGAGCTGAAAGAGAATAAAAGCCTTACATGGAAACAAATCGCCGACTTTTTCCCCGGTCGTTCCTCAGGCACCCTACAAGTCCGATACCTGCACCAAAGCTCAAGGCGAAAACTACGCAGTGGACTGACGAAACGGTATGTTGCCCCTCGATCTGACCCAGAGCCAACCCCACCCCTGCTCGTTCGGCAGATGGCTGATAGATACCCATAGGACCAGAAACTACAATCAGCCCTGCAAGACTACGAAAGCGAGAAGTGGCGCATTGTTGCCAACAAGGTCGGGACTGGCTTCACGCCAGCCGCGTGCCGAGAGCGCGCACAAGAACTTCTTGAAGGTCCTTTATAGCAATCAGTGTCCCCTCCCGGAGCTCACGCACCTGAGGTTGGGGACACCACCTACACGCAGCATCTCCAGTGATGAAGAGGAGTATGCCGTCAGCGACAATCTTTATTACGCAGCTTGACCTGGCAAAGACCAGGAAGATCTCGGTCTTTCCTGCGCCTGTTTCGCCACCTACCATTTCCACCAACCGTACACGGCGAAGACGAGTGATATTCCTTGTCTCGCAGCCTTTTAGCCAAAACACGACTCCCTTCGAATATCGAGTTTTAATCTCCGACGATACCCAATCTTCACAGCTTCTTTCCTTTGTCCCAGTCATCACCCCGTCTCCATGAAACCACGACATAGACAAGGGCTAGCAACCAGTACCCTCTGACGACCGCTGTATTTTATTTCGCTTTCGCCATTTCATCTCGCCATTATCTCTCACAACGCGCAACCGACCACGTGCTCTCTCCCTCCGACAGCACCATTTGTGTCAAGGCCCTGGTCACACGCAAGGGTTCTAGGGGAAAGCGCACTACGCTTCCGCTCACGCACAGCACACACACCCAAATTTCCTTTCCTGTCTTTAAACGCCTTGTAATATTAGAGGACATCAGCGCGGCTCGGAGTTCACAGCCTGGAAATCGGATCCGGCCAGTAGCCGCGAGAACGGGCTGTGGCATGATGCCGGCCTGGTGGGCGCATCCACGAGATCACTCTTGTCTTGAAAACGGGAAACGACTCGCTCGCATACACAGAGGGAAAAGGCATTGTCACAGACGCATATATGATTCTTTTGTCTATTTTTCCTCGCCGCATTGTTGATTCGATGAATTCCTTTCCTCCATGTCCCTTCATCGATGTAGTACTATCAAGTCGCATACTTCTGTCTGTTCGGCCATGCATTCTCACCGCTCGAGCTATGATAGATTAAGGTAGCCCAACAAAGTCGGTGCCTGTAGTTTCATTTGTCAGCGCTGCATGCACCTTCGCACAGCGAGCAGAACGGCGGGATCCGAAAACAGGACCAACTCCCTGGTTTCTGAAAGAATTTGGCAAGTAATGGGTCTTGAGAACACCCCTTGGAAGTCCTGGAAATGGAACGCATCTAAGGGGGGGGTCTGCCGCTGCTTTGAGAGGGGGTGAGCTTTGGCTCTGTTCATTCGCCCTGCCGACATCCGCAGATCACCACAATCTCGGAGAGATGACGGTTAGCATAAGACAGTGAGGAACAACCTACTTTCCTTGGTTGAGGCGACCCAGCCGCCTTGTATGCTATATGGCGAGTGGGTTCTGATATAACCCTCTTTCACCTGTTCCCAGTATGCCGCCCCCCGCCAGCGTACCATTTCATGTTCGCGCGACCGTCGACCGACCAAACAGGAAGCTCGAGCCTCCACAGCGCATGCAACCCAAACGAAACGGGCGCGCCACTTTGCTGGAAATGGTGAAGCTTCGCCTGACCGGTGGCGATGAGGGGACGAAGGGCGAGGATCACCGGAAGAGAAGCCTGGAGGACAGGGCAAACACGAGAAAAGAAGGGCATTTGTGCCCTGGTTTGGGAATGCACCGTATTCCATGAATATCTGCGATGTAAGGTTATGACGGTACCCTGGTCTTGTCTGGTTCCTTGCAAGGCTCAAGTGTGCCATTGCCTGTGGAGGCTCTGTGAACCAACCCCTCCCTCCCTCCTCCCCCCCCTTCCTTGCGGGGGCCCCTTCTTAGTTGGTATGTACCTTCGCATAGAAATACCCGACAAGACCCTACATGGTAGCTGCCTGGGTCTTGGGAGGCGCATATGCATGGAGCAGCCGAGAGACATGCGCGGCGTTGCATGCATGCATGCCAACCAAATCATCGTGGCCTCTGCTTTGATTTGGTCCATGGAACGGTCATGCGCTGACAGAAACGTGAGCCGTTGCCTGCCGCTGTTGGCCTGATGGCTGCTGACAGCATGATGATAACCTTGGCGGAGGAGGAGAGGCTTGAAACCAAAACTGGGGCAGCACACCAGAGAAGTACCAGGCGGCTGGAGGGGGCGTGTGGCAGAGAATTAAGGGGAAGAAGGGCGATCGAACGGGTGAACTGCCGGGGCTGTCGGGGATTTGCGGTGCCGGGGCATGGCTGGTCCTGGCTGGTTTGATCGCCTGGGCCGGGGATGTAGGTGGGCAACCGTAAGGGGTTGAACCCCTTGAAGGGCTTATAGGGCATCATGCGATAGGTTCGTGATTGAGATATTCTTGAAACGACCTCCTCTTACCTGGTATAAGCGATCGTCTCCTTCAAGAACGGGTTTGAGTATGCTGCTCGTGTTGAGTGCCAGGGTTGGATTTTGATGTCTGACAACTTTGCGCTTGGCATCGTACGCACTCGCGATGCTCGATCGGTCTCTGCATGAATGTTTGAATAAATGAGGCGAGATGTCCGAGCTTTTTGCTCTTGATTTATATATATATATATATATGTGTGTGTGTGTGTGTGTGTTTTGGCTTCATGGCTGGGACCATAGTCTCGCTGCTTCATGCTCGTCTAATTCCATGCAGCGTGGCCCTGGGTGTTTCTTATGCACTTCACTCTCGCATGTTCTCGTGTCACCGTGGAAACAGTAAGCGAGGTGGCGGTGACGAAATCTCTTGCCATCAGAGCGAAGAATACATTGTCCCTCCGCTATGCCGGCGACTCGCGAGCATCATTAAATGCAAGTCCTTATGATTGTCAGGGGCCGAACTTGCCATGTGTATGGGGTGTGGCGGGAGGATCGCAAGGGGCAACCCTTAGAATACCTGTTAACGCAGAATCGCAAGGCGGGCGGAAGATCAGATCAAGATTGCATCGCCAGAACTCTGCGGTGTTGCCGTCGACTGAATCGTGGCGTAAAACACATCTTGGCGTCGTAGCATGGCAGCAAAGGCGAGATGGGGGTTAGTTGTCTCGGGGAGGGTGACGATGTGCAACCCCATCTCTGACAAACAGACCTGCGTTGTCGAGCTCTCCGCAGATGACCCGCGTACAAGCGCATGGAAAAAATAGACCGGCAAAGGCCTCGAGCCGCGTCGAGACTGTCGAGAGCTCCCCCCTTGCCTTCTCAGGCCGTATTGCCTAATAAAGACGCAGGCACTTGCTTGTACTGTCTGTCTTCCTCATCGCCCCCCCGGAAAGAACCGAAGAACGTGCCAGGCGTGTCGGCCAGAGCGAGGCCCCCCTCCCGGCTGACGTGACAGACTGGCATCCTATTAATGCAAACGCTAAATCGTGACAACTGGCAGCTAGCTGGTGATGTGCCGGAATCCCCCTGCTGCGCGTCCTAGTCGCTCGAGTCGCTGTCATCTGCAATAGGCGCAGGTGCTATGGGGGTATATGGTCTGCAATATTGGGCGATATGAGAGCCATGCTAAGAGGGGTAGGTACATCGGTAAAGCTCCAAGATGGTATCCACAAAGTGGAAGCTAGGCGTCCGAATAGAAACGAAGATGTTTATCCAAAAGGAGACAAGGGGGCTCTCCAGCGGGGGTGGCGTGTACCGAAAGGCGTGGGGAGCCGGATCGTGATGGCGTGGGTATGCTCTAGCTCGCTAGCTGGTGACCTGGCGGAGATGAACAAATCGTGTTATCAAAGGTGACTTTGAGGCGGCTTCCGATATAGCACGACGGACAGGGGCGTGGTTAGATGGGTGACGCGGTACAGTTGGTGGCTTTGAATGGATGATGAACGCGGGAGAGGGATTTCTGATGGCACGCAGCAGCGAACCTGCCCCTCAGAGAAGCAGAATTGCGTCGCAGCCGAATGCCTGCTAGTATCTCATCTTCGTGACCAGAACTCGTTCGAGTTCGGAATCTCGGGGATGGAAGCCAGGCGGGGCTGGCAGCCCTTTGGTATTGGGTATGTCAGACTGTGCAGTAGGCAGGGTGTCACCAGCCTTAATCTGCTAGACAGGTACCACGCGGCGCCAGGTATAGGCTGCGAGGAACATGGGCGTAGAAAGGCACCCTAGGCCTCTGGATAAGCTGTCAAGAAGCAGCTCCCTTTACCTCCGGATGAGCATACACATAATGAAGGATCTGGCATTTGTTCTCCATCTACCATGCCTACTGCGATCCGGGTCTAGTAATTGGAGTGCACGGATATCTTGGGAAGTCTCCTGGCATCTTTGGTTCTCCGACACTCAAAAAGAGTCCTTGCTGTCGGGGAGGTCCCCATGGTGATGCTCATCTTGTGGAGACACAGACGGAGCGGGAGTGACGCTGGCCCCTCCGTATTTAGACAGATCATAGCTGACCTTTTATGACAGTCCGGGATGCAAGTGCCGATGAATGGGGTGAGACCTGTCGATTCTCCTTTGTCTACATCCTGGATAAAGTCTCCGTCCTATACTTGACCACTAAAGACTGGAAAGTGACTCTCGATCGACGCTTCGTCCACGTCGACACCGTTCTCGACTAGCTCTATGAGTAGTTCGTGGTTTGATGTGTCCAAGCCTGGATCAAGAAAAGCAGCCATGTGAACGAGCCAACCGTTGAAATCCTGGATCTCCGTCTGGCGGCCGGCACGGACGTCCTGCAACATGGAGCTAGTGTTGTCACGAACCTTGTGGCCCACAACCAGGAGCATCCGTTTGAGTTGTGTTTGGCTGAAGCGCTCAAGGAGCATGTGACGATCAATGGCCGATGCTGTATTTCGCGCATCATCCAAGATAGTATCAGTGCTAGGATGTTGGACCACATGTTGTAAAACAGCGCTTGCCTCGGCCAGTAGAACGTCGATAAGTCGCATCAGCGGACCGTCCGGTTTTTCGAAGAGATAGCCATTCTTGCAACGCAAAAGAGCGGTCAGAGGATTGATGATGCAGTTGACAACGAGTTTCTCGAGCTGCAGAGTCCATAGGTCTGCGCGCAACACCTGTTGACCGTGAAGGAAGGGCGCTCGCGCCAGCTGCTCCGCGAGATATGTCGACGATGCGCCACCTTGCGGACCGGGCAGAACGGAACCGATCTTGAGGTCTGCCACCGAGGCATGCTCGCTCGTGTAGCGACCCCTCGAGGTAACACCGTGCGTTGTCACGCAGGCGAGCCAGCTCGGCGGCGGGCGCGACGCGTAGCGGTGAGAAGTATACGCACGCCCGTGCGGGGGCCAGAGCTTGCACATGCCATTCTGTGCAAATGCGACGACTGAATTTTCGTCAAGGTAGCGGCGGAGGCGGTCAATCTCGGGCAGCGCGACGGATGCTTTGGTGGTGACGAGGAGGTTCGGGATGGCGCCGCCGTCAGCGACGTGTTTGACCACACCGTGGTCCGGTTTCTGGTCAGTCCACCACTCGATATCAAAGCCGGTCATGCGTCTGC